AGCCTCGAGCAACTTTTTCCGGATGCCAGATTTTCTCGTTATTTCTTCGCTACGACCTCACCCCCTCCATCTGGTTACCGGCCTTGTAGAACTGTGATACAACTGATTACAACCAGTTCTTACAGCAGCATTTGACTGGTGACGATCAATTTCTCCCTCCCCAACTACGGAAAGTTTTTCGGGATAAAAGCTGGAAACTTTTTTAGGAGAGTTGATAGAAAGCTGAAGAAACTAGGAGCATGGTAAATAGTATAGGGAGGGGTGGTCGCCCAGTTGAGGAGCCTTTGGGGAGCGTTGTCCTGTCGCCGTCATTTCACATTACGATGCAATACTCTGGGTGCAACTATACTGCGCTCGTACCCCCTCCCTCCCATTCCTTAAACTACATTTGTCTCAGCAAATTTGATGACGTCTTCGTTTTGTCGCAATTACTTTGACAAGACAAATTTTCAGACGCAGTTTTTGCTGGAACGATGCCAGTGATGGCAAATGTCAAGCTGACTACTCTTCGACCCATTGCGAATCATCCGCACTATGAGGATGTCGGAATTAGGTCAGTACAATATTCTTCGCTTGGTAAACTTTTGGTTGTGGTAGGAGCACACGAGCAGGTGCCTTGGAGGGAGAAACAATTTCAAGTACAGTAATCCCAGTGTAGCCTAAGAGATCCTTCGAATGTCCACCCAAGTTTATTAACGCCTAGAATCTAGCCGTTTTCCTTTCCGCGCGCAAAAACGAAATGCTTTGACATTCTTACTGAAGCTTCATTAGAGTCCTTCCAATAGTAATACTCCACTAAAATCCCCTGTCTCAAAATTCATTTCAGGCGAAAAATGACTTCAGAACAAATGCTATGTTTTCAGGAATCGAACTAAGCTGCTGTACTCAATGTTTAGTAAAAAGCCTATCAATGAGTTGCATGAGACGCTGAAGAAGCTTGGTGTCAACTACTTCGTTTTCCAATTATTCAACTGTGCTCCAGACGCTGAAAGGTCTGCATTTATAACAGTATTTCCGCAAGAAGAGGTCAACAGGACAGTCCGGTCGTGCAGTGAGGTGCGCACCAGGTGACGCACCTTGGAGCACGTTGAGGTGTAGCTGAGTCTTCCGAACTGGCAGAGCAATCCTGTTGTACTGTAGAGAGCTTTTCTCACACATCCTCCATTTTCCTCTCTAAAAAGGCAGTTGGAACGATGGTTCCCCACTCTGTCCTATAAATGCTAGTAAGGCGCTATCTTGATAGGAAAATGGCGATAGACGGCAGTAAACCTCAAAATCCCGCCTCCAGCGGAGAAAAAGCTTCCGTTCCCTCAGTGACTCATCGATTTCGGAAACGAGTTCCGCATACCATCTACCAATCCCACCGCTGACCCGACAGATACGGCTGGCATAATGTGTCACCCGATATAGTGCATGGCAGCATCAGGACCACGCTATCATACCATATGCCCTTTGGCCTCACTAATGGTGGCTCCAGCAAATGATGAATTACGAGCGTCAGGAGCCAGTCGTCCCGTTTGTGGAGCGGGGCGGGCGAGGAAAGGCGTTCGGAGACGGAATGCTGCGCTCGATAGGCGTTATAGGGTACCCCTCACTTCGAAAAAGGCGCACCAGCGGAGACGCCTGTCGCGAAGTCACGGAATTCTCGTTGAAAGCCCGTCGTATATAATCTGGCATCTGTATACGGCGATTTATCGTGCCAACTGCCTTTAAATCCGCAGGAAAAGGAGAAAGGGGCTGGATCGGAAAAGAGCAAGTGGCGGCAGATAGTGTAGTGAATAGGTGCATTTATTCACAGATAGAAGGTCGAATGTTTGAATCGTTTCCGTGGCTCTGCGTTCGTTTTTTGCTTCTTCGAGGCGTTTAGATTGAGTCCCGAAAGAACTACTATTCAGCAATTTAGCCCTAAAATCCCCATAGATAGGAGAGCGGTTTGATTTACCGGTGAAAAATGAATTGGAATGAAATTGAAATTGAAAGCAGTCACCCCTCTAACTTGATGGATGGATAAATAAAAATCGGAGAAGAAGTTTAGAAGAAGCTCCGCCCCTCAACTCTAAACCCCGCCCACTTAATAAACAATTCATATAGAAAAATAGCGATTTTAACGGAATTTCTGCCGGAATCTCTCTAGAAATGCCGGAATCTGATTTCTGGATAGAACTTGAAGAGCCCATTCGATCAGTAAAATTCCATAGATAAGAGCGGTGTTATTTACCGGTAAAAAATGATTTTAAATAAACATTTTTAAAAGTTTATTTCACAACAACTAGCACAAACCGCCCTTATCTATGGACCGCTCTTATCTATGGGATTTTAGGGTATTGATTTAGTCGTCCTCCTCCCCCATCCCTCCCTCCTACCCACGAGAGAAAGTGGCGTTTTCCTCCCACAAAGTAGCAACGGGCAGTGGGTGGGTAGGGCAGCTCAAATACAAACCAACTCAATACTCTCGTAAAATCTAACCCAAAATTGTTGAGCGTGTCAAAAGATCTGAAGAGTGTCCATAGATACGTAAAACAACTTATTGGGACTGGATTCAGCAGAAAAATATTGTGGGAATTTCGGGTTGTAGTGGTTGACGGGTTCTACATGACTGGGTTTCTCCCTGGTGAGGCGATTGAACCGGTTTTAAAGAGATCTCACTTCGATGAGCGCACTGTGAAAACTGTTTTGTTTTGATTATTTTGGTGAGGATGTCCGCTGTGGATGAAGGGCGTGTCAGTGAACCTGGGCTCGCGCGCCCACGAGCCGGTTCTCTACCAGCTGTCGAGGAAGGCGGGTAAGCTACGATAGCTGATGGAAAAAGACTGATACCAACGATATGGTACGGTTCTGTCGCTTGCTGAGAAAAAAAAGAAAAAAACCGACCGGAATGCCAAACCCGTGCCGCTTGAGAAGCCCTCGTCATGTGCAACGAATAAAACTGCACGTGTACTCGTGAACAGTACAAATTAAATCCTGTGTAGCCGGTAACTAATCAACAATCAGCAGCATTTGCTCATTAATGAATTTTGAACATAATAAAGTTGTGAGGTCTGTCTCCCTCCAGTACCGATTAAGATTCCGAATCGGTAAGAATAATTGTTAAGGATCACCCTGGGGGCTCATTCGAGAACCTTCCGAAAAAACAGCAACGAACCCTCACTGGGGATTTGATCTTCTGACCTCCGTGAAGTATGATTCAGTGGTGGAACTATCCACTATATCACTGGACACCTGAATTGGTATCTTTTTTTACTGTTCCTGCGGAAAAGGGAGGAGTGTGAACGATGTCATGGTGAACAAAACTCCTTTCATTCCTGTAAGCAGACTAGTCCCGCAAATTCTAAAGGCACATTTAGAGCAGGTGCTTCCATTGGTAACTCTGTATCCATTAGGTAGTTTGGTCGTGATGGCGTACATAGTCGTAGAAGCAGTGTGCTTGGAAAGATTGGTTGTTTCTGTCAGCGAAATGATTTGCTGTTTGCATTTAAAACCTGACGGCACTCAACTGATAAAACTGAAACATGGCGAACTCGAGTAATACTAGGAAGGAGCGGAAACCCACAATTTTG